GATGCTATGTTCTGAATCTTATTTAGTTGATCTCCACTCTACGTGCATGTACTTTCAACTAGTCTAGCTCCTCATTGTCATGTCCATGTGTGATGTCATGTTCCGGATCTTGTTTAGTTGATCTCCTCTCTACGTGCATGTACTTTCCAGTAGTCTAGCTTCTCATTGTCATGTCCATGTGTGATGTCATATTCCGGATCTTGTTTAGTGATCTCCTCTCTGTGTGCATGTGCTCTCCACTAGTCTAGCTTCTCATTGTCATGTCCATGTGTGTTGAGATGTACCAGTTCTTATTTAGATGATCTCTTCCCTATGAGCATGTGCTTTCCATTAGTTCTAACTTCTCATTGTCATGTTCATGCTTAATGCCAACTTGTTTTAGTTGATTCCCTCTGTATGTGTGTGATTTCCACTAGTCTAGCTTCTCATTGTCATGTCCATGTGTGATGTCATGTTCCGGATCTTGTTTAGTTGATCTCCTCTCTATGTGCATATGCTTTCCATTAGTCTAGCTTCTCATTGTCATGTCCATGTGTGTTGTGATGTTTCGGATCTTACTTAGTTGATCTCTTCTCTATATGCATGTGTTTTTCATTTTCTTATTGTTATGTTCATGCTTGATGTCATGTTCCGGATCCTGTTTAGTTGATCTCCTCTCTATGTGCATGTGCTTTCCGCTAGTTATAAGCTTCTCATTGTCATGTCCATGCGTGTTGTGATGTTCCGGATCTTACTTAGTTGATCTCTTCTCTATGTGCATGCACTTTCCATTAGTTTTAGCCTCTCATTGTCATGTTCGTGCTTGGTGTGATGTTCCGGTTAGTCCTTCCTCTATGTGCATGTGCTTTTCCACTAGTTCTAGCTTCTCATTGTCGTGTTCATGTGTGTTGTGATGTTCCGGATCTTGCTTAGTTGATTTCTTCTCTATATGCATGTGCTTTCCATTAGTTCTAGCCTCTCATTGTCATGTTCATGCTTGGGGTGATGTTCCAGTCGAACTTTCCTCTATGTGCATGTGCTTTTCCACTAGTTCTAGCTTCTCCTTGTCATGTCCATGTGTGTTGTGATGTTCCGGATCTTACTTAGTTGATCTCTTCTCTATGAGCATGTGCTTTCCGCTAGTCCTAGTTCCTCAATTGGCAAGTTCATGTGTGTTATAGCATCCGGTTCATACTTAGTTGATCTTTCACTATGGGATAGGTGACCGACATTTGGCTGCTACTACGGGTGATGACTTGATTAGGATTAGAAATCTCTTCTCTCTCTCCTTCTCCCTCCCTCCTTTTCTTTTTCTCTCTCTCTCCTCTTCTCTCTCTCTTTCTCTCTCTTTCTCTCCCTCTCTCTCTCTCTTTCTCTCTCTCTCTCTCTCTCTCTCTCTCTCTCTCTCTCTCTCGATTTCTCACTCTCCCTCTCCTCCCCTCTCCACCACTCTTTCTCTCCTCATTCACTTTGCCTCCCTCTCTCTCTTCCTCTCACTTGGCATATGACTAACCCTTCTCCCCTCACTTGGTACATTGCCAGGGTGCGGACGGCAAGAAGAGATCAGACCTCACTTGGTGGAGAAAGAGGGCAAGGGGAGGGTAGCCGGTCCCTTGTGCCACCAAGAAGGCAAAGAAAAAGGACGGTGGGAAAGTGAGAAAGGACGAGATCCGGAGAAAGTGAAATATTAAGCAAGGTCAGTTTGACTTAACCATTTCCCCGACTGCATGACTATGAGAAGAGGGTGGGCTGATTGAGCAAGGAAAGGGAACAAAGAACAACCAAAGAGCATGAAAAGGATAGGCATGTGAGAAGGGCTATGTATTGACCCCCAACGGGGGATTTGTATGGATCTTTGCTTTGTGTGGGATTGTGCAGGTGAGTGAGGGCTAAGGATGCCTTAAGCGGGATGGGGACGGGAGGAACCGGGCACCAAGAAGGAGAGGGAAGAGGGACAAAGGGGCTGCGGGACCCTAGCATAAAACCAACCCATGAAAATGACTTTTGCTTTTGAGAATTGGAGGGTAGATGAGAAAAACGAAGTGCAATCTTACCAAGGGAAAGGTGATGGTATGTGTGCATGCATGTAAAGGCCCCGAAGAGACTAAGGGGCCTGCGGCAATGGAGTTGACTGAGATGCATGAGGCCCAACCGGGGCGTAGAGGCGAGGGGTAAGACGGCTTCGCCGCACCCCGAAGACGCCATAGGTACACAAGGTTTAGGGAAATGGTGTGCGGCCTAAGGATGACGCTTAGCCTGCTCACAAAGGAAGAAAGACTCTCAAAAAACCCCTGGACTGCCTGAGTATTGGAAGGAGCAATTGCTTGGTAACACAACAAAAAATCGAAAAAAATTGGCGCTACGGAATGACCAGCGAGACTACCACCCGGCATGAGGGTTGAGCTACATCCTCAATGTCAAAGCTCTCTCGCGCAATGGCCCACCCCCATTCATCTCAAAGCACTAGGTGGGGTTGACCCTGGGACGAATGGCCCGCGCCTTGAGCATGAGTGTGGGCGGGCCGAGCCAATTGGGACCCGCAGTGGGGTCGACTAAGGCTCGAAAGTCTACCGGGGTTTGGCCCAGTTTCTCTTTGGTCAGTCAGTTAGGGCTTGTGGCCTTCATTTTCAGTTTCCTCAATTATCCTTGGGCGGAACACGACTTTCTCGCATCCGGACTTTGAGCAAACGTGCTGGAAAATGTTTCATCCATTCTTGGTGTGTTTTGTAAGTTATGCTTTTCACCTCCACATGCACATAGCTACTTGAGCAATGTCAGTGTTGTCCTTAAACCACCAGCGCACAACTATACATTGGTCGGGGGCCCCTCAGCTTGAGTTTCGGAGGCCCGAAAATGCCACACCAGCCATTGACAAAATTTATCAAGGGCGCGCTGGGCCCAAACTTTCGGAGTAGGCAACGAGTTTCTTTTGCAAGGCCGGGCCGTGTAGTCGTGCAGTCTAGTGGTTTAAAGTTTAAACTCTTCCCCGTATTCCTGGTGGGGCTTTCCTGTTGGCAGTTCTGCAGTTTGGCTTAAGCAATTTGATTGGGATTCACCTCCATAGGTATATTATCTACAGTCTCTCTACATAAGTTACAAATTTTGGTCAAAACATTTTCTAGCTTTCGCGGCAACCGTTTGGCTCACCATATATGCAGCTTGGTTTCCCCTTGGGGGGGTTTTGACTTGAGAGCAGTACACGATACCCCTTTTCATAGGTTGAAGGGGTCTGTCAAATGGGCTGTGAATCCTTCTGAAAACAGACGAAGCCATAAGTTGCTGCCAATGGATGGGCACATGGATAAGTGAGACACTGAGGAGGAAGTTGCAGCCCCCGCAGAGCATTTGCGGCCCCCAATGCGTATGGGTGCAGATCGATACTGAGGAGTAATGGGCAATCTGACAAGGGATATGGAGCTCACAGGGTCCACTCTGAACGAGGCACTGGAACAACTGGGTCGGAGAGATGAAGAGTTTGGGAAGCTCCGCAAGCGGTGTGAATCTGCAGAGAATGATGCTGAAGTGTGGCGTGCCAGAGCGGAATGCGCAGAGGCAGAGGTCCATCAGATCAAGCTTGTCATAGAACAGGTTGAGCAAAATCTCCGAGAGTGAATGCGGGCAAGAAAGCTTGCAAGAACATCTTAGTGACCTGCAAGGTCATTTTGCGGCAAACACATGGACCGAAGGTGGGGAGATGCAAGAGGAGGTGGCCTTGACGGATGGGTTCTTATCCATTGATGATGGCTACAGAAGTGGACTGGGAGATAGTAATGACAGAGCCGAGGAGCTTGGTTGAAGGAAGGGAATGAAGATATCTCTGAAGAAAAGGAGAGACTGAAGAGGGAGACAAGTTGTGCAAAAGTCATTGTTGATGAACTGCAGGTAATGATAGAGAAGATGCAGAGAAAACGTGAGGGGGAGGAACGAAGTTGGCTGTTGCGGGAAACCGAGCTGTTAGAGAGGTTGGGGAACCACTCGATCGACCGGATGGGTTCTTATAAAAATGTATTTCCAAATGCATTAGAACCACTCGATCGACCTTGCAGTGACTTGGGCACGATCGGGTGGTGCCATTAGCTTCGGCTGGTGTGCAAAATTTGTCTTCATTGTGTGGTGGCTATGTCTACTTCGATTGTGCATGTGTGTGACCGGGTACACCGGATCACGGGGGAAAATGAGTACCCGTGTTGGGGTGGAGTTCAGTGCTCATCTTGCGGCTTAACTTTCACCCCAGTCCACTTTACCGTTTGGTTGAGTGTTTGCCTCCGGATAGGGAGGTCACGTGTTCGATCCTTGGACAGTGCGGACTTATAAAAATGTATTTCCAAATGCATTAGAACCACTCGATCGACCTTGCAGTGGCTTGGGCACGATCGGGTGGTGCCATTAGCTTCGGCTGGTGTGCAAAATTTGTCTTCATTGTGTGGTGGCTATGTCTACTCCGATTGTGGATGTGTGTGACCAGGTACACCGGATCACGGGGAAAAACGAGTACCCGTGTTGGGGTGGGGTTAAGTGCTCATCYTGGGGCTTAACTTTCACCCCGGTCCACTTTACCGTTTGGTTGAGTGTTTGCCTCCGGATAGGGAGGTCACATGTTCGATCCTTGGACAGTGCGGACTTATAAAAATGTATTTCCAAAGGCTGGGGAAGGCAGAAGCTGCTGAAGAGGAATATGAACAACAACAGGAGAAGATGGCTGAGATGGAGAGTGTTCTTAAACAGGTGGTGAATGAGAAAGAAAACCGAGAAAAGGAATGTAAAGAGAAGGACATGCAGCTCGGCATACTGTGGGCAGAATTGGGCGAGACACAGTGTGGGATTCGGCGGCAGCAGAGAGAGGGTGAGTTATCAATTGGCAGAGTGAAAAATTTAGACATGGTAGTGGAGGAACCAGAGCATTCGAAAGTAGACTTCGTGAAACTCAAGCACAAGATTAAAGATCAGAGGAGAGTGGTGACAAACAGTGGAGGACCCATGATCTTGAGATGGATGTAGTGTCAATCGGTGGAACTGTGGAGGAGGGGAAGGGAAAAGGAAGTGTTGTTGACTGAGAGGGCAAGGTCCATGGAGCGCATGGTAAAGGAGCTCCAAAGACAGGTTGAAGCTAAGGAGACCAGGATGCAAGAACTTAAATGAAGAACTGGACAAGACCGTGCATTCCACACAGAAGGAATTGCAGAAAACTGGCCAATCCGGATAAGGATGAGCTTGAACAACGGCTGGAAACACTTGCTGCAAGGTTCACCATGGCTGAGGACAGCAGGCGACATGTTGAATTGAACCACGAGTTGCTGATGGAAAAGGTATGTGCAAAAAAGGAAGAGACAAAGTGGCTTGAGCTAGAGATAGAGGAATGGAAGAAGCGACTGGAAGATAGAGAGGCCAAGCTGAAGTGTGAGATAGAAGGAGAGACACTGCATCAACAGCTTCGAGCAAAGGATGAGGCATTAACTGGGAAGGAATTGGTAATCATGGAGATGAAGACGGTGGTTGAGAAGACCGAAAAGGCAAGAGAGGATATGGAGTCTGCTCTGAAGACTAATGTGAATCAAGTCAATAGCATGTCATGTGAGTTCAAGGAATACGGAACAAAGAAGACTGAGATGGAGGATGTCATCACCAAGCTTCAGTCAAAGTTGATGGACACAGAGAGAAGAGAAAGGCAGACAAGGAGTGAGATGGAGCTGGTGTTCAGGAGTCTCGAAAGGGCTTGTGAAGCTGGGGGAAAGCGAGATGAGAGCGTACAGGGAACGAGGGACAATCACTTGGTCATGGATGCTGAGGTGCAGCAGCCACCATGTGCAAACACTTTGATGGTGACCACCTCCATCAATGCTGAGAATGTGTTGGAGCTGGGTGAGGTGGCTCACAAGGCATATGAGCTAGGTGAGCGATTGAAGTAGAGGCTGCAGGAATCAGAAGAAAAGTTGACTAGATTGACAGCAGGCATCAGAGGATGGCAGGAAAAGAGCTGCATGATGGAGAAGGTGATTGGGGAGCTCCAAACCCAACTGGCAGAATCTGAAAAGCTGGAGAAGCTGGCGTGGGAACAAGTGGAGGAGTCCTGCAGGGAGCTCGATGAGGTACGAATGACAATGAACATTGAAGGGGACAGTGACTCTGTCAAGGAGGCAGCAGAGGCCTTGGAGAGCTTGAGACAGAAGGTTCAAGAATGCGAGTCCGAGCGCAAACAAGTAAGAGAGGAACTAGAGAGGCTGGAAGCAGAGGCATTGGATATGGAAGGAAAGCTGGAAGAGAGAAGTGAGGAGATAGATATGCTCAGGAAAAAATGTGAAGGCTATGAATGTGTTTTGGCTATAACAGAAGGAAGTGTGAAGGAGTTACAAGCGAGGTTGACTACAGTCGAGGAGGAGAGGGATGAGTTGTTGGAGAGTATGAGGGATGAGAAGGTTGCCATGGAAGAGCTTGACAGGGTGATGAAGAAGGGCGGGGAAAGGGAGGACATTCTTCGTGTGAAGGTTGATGAGCTAAGGAATGAGGTGGTTGCAAAGGTAATTGTGGAAAGGTCACTGAGAGATACACTGGCATCTCTAGGTAACGGATTGCAGGAAACAAGAGCAAGCCTGAAAGAGTTTAAGGAAGAAGTGTTGACCAAGCGGGAAGCAGTGGCACAAGCAGAAGAGATGGCAGTCAGACTCGTAGAGTTAGATATGGAGAAGGCTTCAAAGGAGGAGGAAATCATTATGGTCCGCGAGGAAGCTAGCAGTTTGCAGGTGTGCATTGACCATGCAGTGGAAGCTTTGGGACAAGCTAGGGCACAGATGGAGCTTCTTGAAAAAAGGATGCTTGCAAGGGAGAAGTGTCTGGTGGAAGGGGAAGACGTAATGGCAAGAGTGGAGAGAGAACGCAACGAGCTGGCAATGATAGCCGGAGATCAGTTGGCACTAATTGCTCAACTTCAGGAAGATGTGCAAGTGATAGCCCACAAAATAATACAGATGGGAGAAGTAATTGTGAGACTGAGGAAGCGGCTGGAGGAAGAAGAGTTCAAGGCCAATATTGCCGCAGAGAAATCACTAATGCTGGAAGATAAAGTTGAACAACTGGAGGCCACCGTAGAGGAGAAGAGCAGTCGATTGGAGCTTATGAACGATAAAATTCTTCAGATGGAGGAAGATGTCGAGGAGCTCACATATCTGAGGAAGGACAAAGAGAAGATGGAGCAGTTATTCAATAAGGCATGTATGGAGCTGACGGAGGTGCAAATGGAGCTGCAGAATGCAAGGATCACATCAGCAGAGTTGCAGTGGAGAATGCAAGGGCTGGAGAGGTTGGCGGTGGTCCAACGAAAAGACAATTTGACCCAGCTGAAAGATGAGCAGATTATACCGATGAGGGCCTTGTATGTGAAGGCAGCTCTGCTGAGGGATGTGACTTCCAAGCCTTCTTGAGGAAATGATGGAAACACGCAAAAAGGCACTCCATCAGAAATTGAGAACAGGCAGGCACAAAGATGGGAAGAACTCAAGGAGGAGGGAGATCTTCCTGTGTTGGAATGCGAGCATGTCGAGAGACACTCGCTGGAAGCACACACCATGATGATGGCAAACAAAGCGATGCAGGCAGCATTGCTGACCGACGAACTTAAGGATGGTAGAGAGTTGGTGGAGATTATTCGTACCAGATTGGAAAAGACCAATGTCGAACTAGAGGAGTTAAAGAAGGATATCTTAGAGAGGAAGCAGGAGGCATCAAAGTTGGTGAACGGAACTGAGGGTGAGGGATCGATCTCTGGAAAATGCCTATCAGAGGGATTACTGCAGTCGCGATTAAGGGTGATGAGGGAGGACATGAAACAGAAGAATGAAGGCTGGGGAGAGAAGGTGAGTGGGGGCGAACTGCAAGGTTGGGAAGAAGGTCTGGGACAGAAGTTCAAGGCTCTTGTGAGTGTGCGCAAGGATGGAAGAAAGGGGTAGGAACATGTGCAGAGGGAATGGCAAAGAACTGGACCAGTCTTGTTGGAGGAAGTCCAGGATGTCATGGATTTGAGAGAGGCTCAGGAAAGAGAGGTGTTCCTGGAGTCAAGGATGGCACCGATGCAGAGGGATATAAACTTGAGGGAATCAGATCTGCAGAGGGAGTCAGCCAAGGTTGAACGCTGTAGAAAAGAGCTTGAAATTGTTAGGATGGATGTAAAGAGGAAAGATGATGAAATTCGTAAGTTGACAGAGATGGTTCAGCAATTAGCTCGGGTCTCAAGGAAGCGACGGCAGTCGGAAGCAGAGCGCTTTGAGCAGCAAAAGCTTTTGGCTGACCTTGGGGATGCGCTATTGATGCTGGAGGCTAAGGCTGTTCAGGCCGAGGAGAAGAGACTTGCACGGAAAAGAAAGTTCAAGGCCATCACATGGGCCATGGATGAGCTGAAGCAGGAGTCAGAAATGATGAAACAACAGATTGAGAAGCTGAAGGAAGAGGTCGAAAGAAAGGCTTTGGAAGAAATCATGAAAGATCATGAAATAACATTATGGGTCATATGGAAGGAAAGATGCAGCAGAACGATTGAAGGACTGTCCAGCCCACGCGAGAAAGTTTGGGTGGAGACGAAAATGATGATACAAGCCGAAATCCTCTGCAGATGGAGGAAGACCAAACAGTCATGGACGGAGGACGAGGAACAATGAAAGAGGGAGAGATGGACCTTCAGCAAGAACTGGTTGATAAACGGCAAGATTGCGGAGTTACGAGAAGACCGTATTTGCTGGAAAGAGTGGCATAACTCAACCCCAGGAAGGATTCACCGGCAACAGACAACTGCGGGTGGACAAGACATTCCATGATCAGACATCCATGAGGGGTGGATAAGACGGAAGTAAGGGTGTCATAGAGCAGGATAGTAGTCATGGGTTTAGGGATCAAGGGTTTAAGGGATTTTCAGAGAGGGTAGAGAAATTTCGGGCAGGGGACAGGGTGGTGGCTCTCGGGTAAGGATCAATAAAAGGAATTACAAGGGACAGACAAGACAACCGGGCAAACTCTTTCTAGGAATATAGAACTATCTGACAGACCTAGCCACCAGGTCTGAGAGGAGAGAGGGTGTCATGGCAAGCTGACAGTCAATCCTCCGTCAAGATGGAGTAATCAATGCTGCTCAGGGGTCCTTCGGCCAGACGGAAGGAGGCGTGAGTGTGTCTTAATTGTTGTGTATAATTCCGACTCGCTGGTGGAGTAGGAACCGGACTGACGCTCCCCAGAATAGAAGGAGCCAGGACCATGAAAAAAAAGAAAAAAAAAAAGGATGATGCAGCAGACAACTGATGGATTGGAATTGGCTTTGCAGCTATCAGAAAGGAAGGAATATGAAGCTGAAAACGAAAGCACGTCACTGAAAGGGGTTTCGGATGAGGTTGGGAGGAAGGAGGGACGTTATGCAGCATGGCCGCATGGGGCAGACATGCGGCGGCGTCCCATCGACAAGGTGATGGCCTCTGAGGCCTTGAAAACTGCAGAGCTGGAGAGTGTGAAGCAGAAGCTCAGGTACTCTCATGAAATGACACAGCTGATGGCAGAAGAGGTGGAGGAAAAGAGAGGGATTATTCTGAAACTCGAAGAGGAGAAGTAATGAAGAAGCTGCTTAAGCTGTTTAGAGGCTTCTCCCATGAGGTTCACACACACCTAAGGGAAGCGCAGGAAAAGAGGGGATGCTGTGACAATGAAGCAAACGGAACATGCAGAGATATTGAGCGAAGTTCTCTGGCAAGCCTATGAAACATGATGCCGTGTTTGAGTAGTGACATGCCTGTTGAAGGAGAGCCGCGAGCAGTCCACATGCAAGTGGTACGACGAAGCCTGAAGCAGATTGTCAACGTTTTGCAGAGAGCTGGCACAGAGCAGGACGCAGAAATACAGACAACTCCGAGAGGCAGAGGATAGGTGTTTGTCCCATGGAGAGGAGTCGGAAGAACTGAAGGCAAACATTTGTGTCTCTGGAGAGGTTTTGGAGCTGCAAGAGAGGCAGAGAGAAGAGTTGGTTAGAGACTGTGATAGGCTACAGGAGGAAATCGACTGCATAGGAAAGAAATTGGGCAAAGGGACAGAGGAGAGAGAACTCCTGAGAAGACAGGTTGCAGAATTGGAGGCTAGGGTTCAGGTTTTGGATGCAGGCGAAGAGGAGCGTAGCAGGAGGCGGGGGAAGCCAGAAGAAAGGGAGGAACAACTTGAATCACCTGTGAGTGCTACTGTTGCTGCAGGTGCTCTACATGCAGATAAAGAACATGCCCAGGCGCAGGAGCAAATGGAGAGGCTCTTTGAGGGGAATGCAGCATTAACCAAGGATCTGGCAGTGGCACAATCAATGGTGGAGTCACAGATGGCATCCATATCAAAGTTAGAGGATGTACTGCAGAAGAAACCACACAACACCCGTGTAATGGAAGCAGCTGCAGGAGAGAAGAGGAGAGGCATGCTGTTAACCAAGGTGAGCATGCGGAGAGCAATCTCCATGGATATGACACTCACTCCTGCTGTCATATGTGAGACCGATGAAGGAGACGTCACTGTAGTAGAGCCCCAATTCGGAATGAAGCTTGTTCCTTTCGTGGGAAGACGGGAAATGGAAAGAAAGATTAAGCAGATGGAACTGGAACTCAGTGAGGAGAGAGAAGAGAAGAGGCGTCAGGTTATGGCTCTGACAGATAAGCTGGGGCAGACAAAGGCAGAGCTCACAGAGGCACAACGGCAAACAGAAACGTTATTGGCGAAGTGTGAGAAAACTGGTGTGATGTTGATGGTTGACTTTGGATGTGCTGACAATGCTTCCATTTCAAATGGAGCCAATCAAATTGAAGAAGGCGACAAGGACTTGTTCACAGAGCTTAGAGCGGAATGCTCATAACGTTACTAGGCAGAGACTCGCAGAGGAAGAAAAATTGTTTTTTGCCCGGCTGAAGGAGTTGCAGGAGTTCTACAATGGCATGATCCTAGGAGAAGCGGGAGTGTTAGGAGGCGAAGGGGATGAAGAGGCCGGTGGTGGGGGTGACTACGTTATGAATGCCTTTGCAGCAGAAGTGATTCCACTCAGGGCTCGAATTACCGAGCTTGAGATGAAGCTGGCTATGGAGAGTAGTATGCGTGATGAGACAATGCATACAGACGATGTGGGTGATTGTCCATGGTTCGGAGATTGGAGCAAGCATGGTCCAGTATATGACAACAAGGGCAGTTCTTCATTGTCTAGAAGAAAGGAAGGAGATGGGATTGCAGGCTAAAATAAGGGAAAAGGACAAGATCTGGCGATACGAAGAGCTGTTTATCACGTGTGTGGTCGTTGCCATGATGAATGGTCATAATGGTACATAATATGGCAGCAGAGCTGCAGGTGTTCATATAGCAGTTGCGCTGTGTTTTCCACTTTCCTCTTGGCTAACCAGTAGTTCCCCCGTCTCCACCAAAGATGAAGACCTGAGGCTGTAGAAGAGGAAGAGTTGCGGCGAAGAACCTATGTATTCTTTTAGAAAGGAGAAGAAAAATCTCATGCTTATGCAGCGCAGCTTAGGACATGCTTCAGGAAGTGATTCCGTGTGATTGTCCAGACCTCTGGGCATCTCACACAGGACGTCTGTTTCTTGAGTCAAAACGTTAACGATAAAGGAAAGGTAACACTGTGAGAAACAATGGCTTTGCCAGGCAGTGGCTCATTCCACCGCAGCGGCAGCTTGATGTGATATCGCCATGCTGTGAGCCACGGCAGCCACGACCCCAGTGTAGCCGGTCTAGGTCGAGTCTAGGCTAGTGTAGGATATAGATAGGATGAGGGCATCGGTTCAGGGCTTTTGGCAGTCGGTACCATGTACATCGCTGCTGCACAACGCGTGAACTGGAGGTGGTGACAGCTTCAGCGTTGGAGAAGACGGCCATAGCTGGACCTGCGGAGTGTCAGCCATAGCTGGGACTGACGCTGTACTCTGACAGCACGCGGGGCTGCCAGAGGTCCGAGCTATCTGAAGTCTGCTGGGGGCAGGAGAAGTTGGTGCCCTGCTGAACCCTCCTCAGGAGTAGAGTTACAGGGTGTGTGGTGCTGCAGCCATAGCTGCAGCTTCTTCCTCAGAGATCATCTTCTCAGGAGAGGTGGCGCTGTTGCAAACTTCCACCCGGGAAGTCATCCGGCACTTCATCATCATCAGACACTGTGGCACTGGTCTTCTTCTTCATCCTCTGAGAAGCGCTTGGCCTCCGAGTCCTGTTTCAGGGCGGCGCTTCCCTCTGGGAGTTGTATCTGGTTGGCGCTGGTTGTTTCAGGGGCTCAGGGGTGATTTGGCAGTTACTCAGGGTGTGGGAAGTGAAGCGCTGCTCATTTCTGAGCAGCGCACCATAGTTCTGGGGCTATCCTGGCAATTCGAGACTCTGAGTTTAATAAACAGTGTTGATACTGGGTTTGAACTATCATTGCTTCAATTTTTCTTGGATGTGATCTACTCGGCTTTCTTTTGTGACTGGTTGTGAGGATTCTGTGGAGCGAAGTGCACTTTCAGTGTTCTCTGTCATATCGCATGGACAATTCTTCGCTGTGTTTCTCTCTCCCTGTGTGGTGTGATACTCCCACCCTCTCCCCTTCCTTCTGTGTATGTATGGGCATACTTGGAAGTCTATGTGTGCGAGTGTTGGTCATCTGACAACAAACAACCAGGTTCATTACAAAGTGGTGTGGCTATCTCCTGTCTTCCCTTCCCATTTCATAGTGAAACGATCGTTAAAAGAAGCAAAGTTGGTTAAGTACGGTCACAATAACGGAAGAGGTGTTGCTGTTGGGATGAGGTAGCGACACCTACTGCTTGTTGCTGTTGGGATGAGGTAGTGACCTACTGCTCGGAACAACTCCGGCAGTGTTCTTATGTAAGGAGGTCAACAGGTTTTGTTAGAAACAACTGCAGCTTAGCTCAGTTGGTGCACCCCTGAACCGTTGAAATACAGACCTGAGTTCGAACTCAACAAGAAGCAGATGAGTAAAGTACTACCTGAAAAAAGAAACAACTGCAGCTATCTTTGCCAAAGAGTTTGCAGAAATCGATTGGATGAGGGTTAGATATCCAACCTTGTAGGGGGTGTTTATCTGGTGAGCCCTCTGTGCTACCTGTTCGTGGCGGCCTGCCTGTAGAAGGCAGAGCTGAGCTATCCTAAACCAATGTCTATGCAAGGAACCTGCTGTGAGAACACAAAAATTTTGAGCGGCAAGAACTCATCGAAGACCATGCATGAGTTGACCGAACTGAAAGCAGAGTCATAATGCCGAACACACTGAACACTGAAGTCTCTTGATAATGAAAGCCCTCTTCACGCCTCCACTCAATCAATACAGCAACAGAGTGGTAGCCCTAACCTCTAGTATGCCTGCCAGTGTTGCATACCCTGATGGTCGGCGCCCCTTGACTGGTCGGATGCCGACCAGCCGACCGGTCAGCTGGTCGGCACCTACCGGTCGGGGGACGTCCGGGGGGGGGGGGGGGGGGGGTCAGAACCCCCAATAACCCCACCAACACCCCCATACCCGCCCCCAATACCCCCACACACCCCTCAAAACCCCCAAACCACCCCCCAACACCCTCATAACCCCCCAATACCCCCTATACCACCCCTATACCCCTCTATACCCCCCCTATGCCCGCTCCCCCCCAATCCCCAAAAGTTTCTCAGGGGATTTGGGCTGTACTCAGCAAGCGCAGTACAGCCCCCAACTCAGATTTGAAAAAAAATCAGTGGATGGCTGTTTGCTGACTGGTCGGCGATCGGCCCTACTGGTCGGCTGCAAGATGGTCGGCGGTTGGGGTCAGCGGTCGGCAGCTATGCAACCCTGATGCCTGCTAGTAGCCTCCTCTCTCTCTCTCTCTCTCTCTCTCTCTCTCTCTCTCTCTCTCTGTGTGTGTCTCTCCATCTCTCTCTCTCTCTCTCTCTCTCTCTCTCTCTCTCTCTCTCTCTCTCTCCGATGACCGCTGAAGGTCTGACCACATAGCTGCTCTCCCGTTGCCTGCCAGGGAAGTATCCACCTGTCCCCACAGCCTCCTCCTCTCTCCCAAGGATCTACCCTTCCACCTCTCAACCCTTCTCCAGCGCGCACCCTTCCATCTATGGCACTGGTTACTGCTGGTGTGCACCACTAGCGCTGTTATCCCAGGGTGCTAGCTGTTGTGCTTGCTGCTGGCCAGAATGCCAGCACTGCCACTTTAAAGCATAGCTACGCCGGGCCGGACCCCGGATCGATTCCGAACCCCGGACCCCAGACCTTCCGGGCCCATCCAGACTTCCGGAAAACCGGAATATTCCAGAATTTCCGGACCGGTCCGGACCCCAGGTCCGGATCCCCTGTATTGTCCGGAAAAAAACAAACAAAAAAACAACGCCTCTACTCCTACTCAGTTAAAGCGTGTCATCCATGTGCAGGGGCCATGCTAATCTTCTCCTTCCAATGTTAATGAATGTCCCAAGGGCAAGATTAGCATGGCCCCTGCGCCAAGATGACACGCATCAATGAGGAAGTGGACCAAATAAAAAATAAATAACCCAAAAAGGAGGAGGAGGAGGACGACAGAGGAGTACAGGAAAAAAAAATTGGGCCCATGTATTCCTTATTGAAAAGTCTTTTTTTCCCAAAGGACCCCAGCAGTGCATCTGCAAGGGTCCAATATCTCAAGAGACGTTCGGCAAATTTCGTATGAGAGCGGAGCAGGCCAGCAATATATGTTCTGGATCCGAAGTCAGGTCTGCTTTCGAGCAGTTATGGGTCACAAGTTACAACTACTTGCTACCGTACCTCTCTCTTTTCTTTTGTTTCGTTTTCCTACGAGCAGCAGCCCTAAAGGCCTTGCTCCACTCGTCACTACGTGCACAAAAGACAAACCATGTGGTGGCGTATGGTTCCATGTTCTAGCAGAAGAGTCATTCCAACTCTTTCTTTTGTTTCCTTTTCTCAAGAGGAGTGGCCCTAAGGGCCTTGCTCCACTCGTCACTACTTGCACAAAAGACAAAACATATGGCGGCGTATGGTTCCATGTTCTAGCAGAAGATTCATTCTAGTTTTGCACATTTGGTAAGTAGTGGAGGGAAGCCCTGAAAAGCACGTGGTGAGTTGGCCTGCTACTGCCCAGAAACTCGCGTGCTAAGTGGTCCCATAACTGCTGAAACACGGACTTCAATGTGAATCCTGAGAACACGAGAGAGAGAGAGAGAGAGAGAGAGAGAGAGAGAGAGAGAGAGAGAGAGAGAGCAAACAAATAGCTCCTTATAATTTATTAGAAAACCCCTGCGGGTTACCCCCCAAGAGGCCCCTGCAGATAATTAGCAAGGGCCTTCTCATCATGAACTGAGTAATGCTCATAGCCATGCTAGGGTCATGGCACGCCAAGTATATATGAGGGGCCTCTTGGGGGGTAACCCGCAGGGGTTTTCTAATAAATTATAAGGAGCTATTTGTTTGCTCTCTCTCTCTCTCTCTCTCTCTCTCTCTCTCTCTCTCTCTCTCTCTCTCTCTCTCTCTCTCTCTCTCTCTCTCTCTCTCTCTCTCTCTCTCTCTCGTGTTCTCACACATAATTTTTTTTGTTTTTTTTGCGCATCGTCACCATTGCACTGCTCTGGGTGCACTGCACACTTGCGCCGCAGGTAGGAAACAAAACCAAAGTTACCAAACCCCCTGGTAGACTTTTTGGGCCTTCCGGATCGTTGGCGAGGGGGATAAAAAATCAGGCACCATTTTTTTGGGGCGCCCCAGAGCATGAACAAACGCCGTGGACCACCCAAAAAATTTTTGCTCGTTGGGCTGGGGCCCACACATCCGGACCGAGATCCGGACCCGGACCCGGACCCCGGACCCCGAACCACGGACGGTCCGGATCCCTGTCCGGTGGTCTGGATCGTATCCATGCTTTAAAGTGCCTGCTGCCCAATATCCCTCTCTCTGGCCCGGCCACCTTCTCGGCTGGAGTCCACGATGCCCATCTGGTAGGGACTGCCTACCTGCCTAGTCCTTACTGGGTGTAGTTTGCGTGGTCAGGGGCGCGACTTGTGGCCTACTGGCAACTATCTGGTGCAGCCTGGTCACAGCGCTCATTTTCTCTGGCTGTGGCCTTCACTTGGGGTTGCCAAGGCCTGAGAGCCTCCCATATAGGTATTTCTGAAAAAAAAAAGAAAATAATCAGTATGTGATACTGGACGCCGGTCGGAAATAATATTTCAAATTGAATTGAAATTGAGAGGAATGAGACTCGCGGGGCCCTTATCAGACATACAAGTGTTCTGGGCTGTGGCCCGCAGCAAGCCTCGTGCCCGTCCTAAGTGAAGTTGGGCCTGAATATTCAAGTGAGGCCTGTTTTTGACATTTTCCATATGTGGGGACTCAGACAGTTGCAGCACGCCAGTTGGTTACACAGCGACGTGAGCCTCCAGGCTCTTTCCAGAAGCAAGGGCTGCGCTGTACAGTTGAGCCCAGGGCTCAGGTGGTTGCGCCCTGGGCACACGCTGAATGAGGCTGACACATCACGGACTGGCCGTGGGCCAATGAGAAAGTAGCATTGTCGTCACACATGTGCCGCTAGCCAATGAGAATGCTGCGAGCACTTGGAGGCTGGGTGGCTGCCTGGATGTGCCTAACAGAGCGAGGCCCAGGCCAGTATCCAA